CTGAATAACCTTGTCAGGTGGAGTATTCATGGTTGTAGATTTTTTTCCTTCAGCACCTTAAATATATTGTACCACTTTCTTCTGGATTGCAAAGTTTCTGCTGAAAACTCTGCTTATAGCCCTAAAGCATTTCCTTATATATATAACCAATAGCTTTTCTCTTGTTGCTCTTTTTTCTCTTTATCTTTAATCTCTGACATTTTGATTATTATGTGTTGTGGTGTGGACCTGTTTGGGTTCATCTTGTTTGGAACTCTCTGTGCTTAACCTGGATTTTTATTTTCTTCCCCAGATTAAGGAATTCCCTAGCTATTATTTTCTGCCCCTTTCCTCCTCTCCTCGTTCTTGCACCCCTAAAATGCGAATGTTAATGTTTGATGTTCAAGAGATCTTTAACCTGTCTTCATTAAAAAAAATTTTTTTTGAAGATTTTATTTACTCATGAGGAAGAGAGAGAGACAGAGACATAGGCAGAGGGGAAGTAGGCTCCCTGCAGGGAGCCTGATGCAAGACTCAATCCTAGACCCCAGGATCATGCCCTGAGCCAAAGGCAGACACTACACCACTGAGCCACCCAGGTTCCCCCCGCCCCAATTTTTTTTTGGTGTTCAGCATGGGTGCTTTTTAAATTCTTTGTTTGCTGACCCATTCTGCATGTTCTATGTTGATTCCTGTAGTATATTATTCAGTTACTTGTATTTTCTTCAGTGCTGAATCTTTTAAAAATTATTTTCTATCTCTTGTTAAGTTCATCTACTCTTCTCTCCAGTCCAGTGAGCATCTATTTTTATGATGATTACTTTGAACTCCTTACCAAGTGGGTTGGTTTCCTCTGTTTCATTTAGTTCTGAGATTTTTGTCTTGTTCTTTCATTTGCAGTATATTCTTAGGTCTCATTTTACTTGACTTTTTGTGTTTCTGTGAATTAGGTGGAACAGCAACTTTTAAACTTGAAGGAACGGTCTTGTGCATGGTTGTCTCCTGTGTAGATTGTGTGTGCTTGGTGACTGGCTGGCTGGAGGTGTGGATCGCAGGAATGGTGGCTGGCATGAGCAGGGGGTCTAAGGACATTCTATGTTGGGCCTGCCCTGGTGGTATGCCCAAAGCTGAAGTGGGCACAGGCTGGGCGGTTTCAGGGCTCTCTGTACAGTGTCTCCAACAGGATAGCTGAAGTGGGTGCAAGCTGGGTGTCTCCAGGTGTTCCTCTCATTTTCATGGGTTGCTGAAGCTCAGGCAGGGCACAGGTTGGAAAGATACCAGAGCACTCCATATGGGGTATCCTGGCAGGGCAGCTGGAGGCAAAATGAATGCAGGTTAGGTGCCCTGGTAAGTTATGGGGAGCTGAAATGGTGCAGACTATTTTAGCATGCTTTGTGCCTCTGTCACCTTGGTGAGATGGCTAGAGCTGTGTGCTACTCTGGAGCCACTTTGGTGGAATGGCTGGATCTGGCATGGGCTGGGGCTCTGAGGTGGTAGGATCGACCCCTGGGCCTGTTCCCATCCATGCTATTGAGGTGGAAGGCAAATGTAAACTGCGATGCTCACCAATCCCTGCAATCCAGATAGCTCACCCAGCTTTTCTAATTTCCAGCTAGTTTCAACCTTTACTTATGCTCTTTAGACTATTCATGTTTTTATGGTATTTCTCCCAGCCAAGGTTGCCTACCCAGGTCTCCACATTTATGCGAAAGATTTATGCGATCTGAAGAGAAACCAGAGTGTACCCAGGTCTCCACATTTTAAATCAGTCCTCATCAGCTCCTCTTCTAACTCATGCTTTTTTAAATCTCTGCCTGTAAGTTCAGAAGTGTTTACAAGTAATGCTAAACATTTACCAAAAGCATAATGGAAGAGAGAGCAGTTGGTAGAACTCAGATGGCTTATACAAAAGGGAAGGAAGCCTTAACTTAAATGAAAAGCTTATTAGCGACACCTACAAAAACCTTGCCATTAAGCAGCCTATTTATAGCTCTGAAAGAGCCCCTTATCTAAGCCCACATCATATCCTGGATTTCCACACATTTCATGGTTCATGTTTGTGTAAGTGGTGGTTTAGAAAGAAGTGGCCAAGGCAGGCTTTCTCCATCTTGAGCAGAAAGACTTATGAACAGCCTCAGGAATGAGCCAGATGGCAGAGGCATTCTAGGACAAGAAGCTGACTTCTTACTCATCCATGAGACCTGATGGGTAGGAAACTAGCCTTTGGATCAAGTAACAGCCAGTTGTATTCTAAGTGAGAATGTGAGTCTGGGCTCAGCTGCAACTGCTTCCACCAGGGATAATGCCCTTTGCTCTTCTCTATGCTTATAGTTCCGTTCCTAAAATCCTGGATTCTCAGTTGTGCTCAGGTGGTAAAGCTCAGGAAAGGTGGTGCTTCCTTTCCGAGTTCTGTTTTTCAGGATGAGAAGAATATAGCTAAAAGATCTTAGAACTAAAGAGAAGTGTCAGTTAAGACTTGTCTGTAATTGAAGGACAGAGTGTGATCTGAGTCCATGTTACTCAATGTAGCCCAGAGCAGTAGACTCAGCAGCTCCTGGGAGCTTTCTAGAAGTGGAGAACATAGGCACTACTCCAGGCACACTGAACCAGTAAGAATGTGTACATCTTAGGATGCCAACACATCTAGATGCAGGTTAGTTTGACAAGAACTGTCCTAGAATCATTCAGATAAAGTCAGAGCTCTGAGAAAAGTGGACTGTCCAATGAAGAAGACGGTTGTTACAAGAGGCTGGATCAACATCTCTTTCCTCCTGCCAAAGACATGGGTTGGCAATAGCTCTTGGCTGGGCTTGCTGATTCACAATCCTACATCTCATCTCTAGTTAGAGTACACACAGCACCCAAGTTACCCAGTATCCCCCTTGTAACCACTGACTCATACAGCAGCAGTCTAGAGTAAAAGAAAAATCCACTTCCAGTGGTCCTTTTATTCATCCAGCACGTACCTCCCCTCCGCAAGGGGGTTGACAGCTTCTAAGGGAGAGGAGGCACCTGTTTTGAGACCAGGCTTCTAAAAACATCTGAGGATTGCAATGAAGAAATAAGGACACGGAGGATCTGGGCTAATTACAACAATCCCCACTCACCCTCCATTTAGCTGTGGAACTCATACATTCAAGAGCTGTCAGAATGCTAATTCCATTCTTTTATTTCCTCATACCACAAACATTTTTAGTTCATCTGCTTTTTTACAACCTCATTTACACAAGCAAACTGCAAATGAAAAACAGGCATCCTTTAATTCTCCAAATACATGTATGAAACATCGCACAAAGCCTAGTATTAACAGGCTCAGCTGAAGCAGCTTTAGCGCAGTTTGTTAAAATTAGCATTATGGTTTAAATATTTATGCCTGTGAAGGGTTGGATGATCTACTATACACAGTTATTTCGGCAGCAGGTAGGACCTAACTGAGGAAAAAACCAATAGAAAGCACTAACGACGATTGTGTAAACTTAAATTATTTACAAACATGTAGGGTCCGGATTCACAAAACTTAGTGCACATCATGATTCACTGATGATTTTCATAGAGAAAAGCAAGCATTATGTGGAATAGTTCCCAGGTAAAACCTAGAATGGTTTTTGGGAGAATGTCAATATGCTTACTGGAAACGAGAGATAAAGTAACAAAACAAGAACTCTAGCAACTGCATTTGATTTGAAGATTTAAGTATATAAAGAGCAATCAAGGGTCACAAGAGAAGGGCTGGTGCCATTTCTGACATTACTCTTGGTATGCACAGGAAGAGAAACCATTCTGCCCCTTTTTAAAATTAAGAAAAAAAAATTCCCCCCTAATCACCAAAGGGGAACTCAGAGTTAATAGTCTTCTTTCCTCCTCCTACAAATTTCTCTTTAAACTTAATGCCTAAATAAGCAAACTTAAAAGAAGAAAAGTACCTCTTATAACAGCCTTCAGTTCAACGGATTTTATTTAGCGGTGAAAGCTTGAGGCAGGATGACCAAGCTGTTAGCTATTCCAATTACAAAAGAAACATCATAGACAAGGTGCCAGAAACCCAAGGTCGCTGTGAAGCATTTCAATGGATTCAAGAATGACTTTAAGTATACAACAGTGGAGAGGACTCAAAGTAATAAGACTGTTTTTAAAGGGAAGTGATAGATTTCAGTGAATCAGGTCCCAGGTAAAGTCTTTCAAAAAACCAAAAATTTACAGGAAACATCTTAAACTCTGGAATGCAGGTATAGTACAGTTACCAGTACATTACATTTACAAAACTGCTTAGACAGTAGGTATATTCCAGAGTAAGAATCGAAAAATGTACAAGCCAGTTCACAATGACTTTAGATACAATGTTATTAAAATACATTGTTAATCATAAAAATATTTTACTATGTACATGTACACTGTATAAACTCTAGGTTTAACTACTGAAGGAAAGCCTCTAAATCCGTCTCTGGCCACTGGTCCAACAAACAGTGCCATTCTAGAATTTGGTCTTCATACCACACACAGGGGCTGAGGAGTACTGCATTCAGTTCTTCAATAAACTAGTAATGAGTTTTTCCTTCTGCAGAATGTCTAGTTGGAAGAGTCAGTTTTACTTCCACTATATTTTACTTTCCTAAATGCTGGTCCAAGTAACTCTGGACATTCACATAATTCATTTGCAATTTGGTTACACTTTAAAATAAGGCTGTAGTTCATTTCATCAGTTATCACACTGTCTTGCTTGTAGTCAGGATGGTTTGCAATAAACTCTCTCATCCACCTGGCAACTGTCATTAGTTCACCTTGGGGGAAAAAAATTAAGACAACATAAGTTAACAGAAGAGTCTTTTTTAAGCAAGTTGACAATTTAGTGACCAGCATAAACACAATCCTGAAGAGAAATGAGTAGGACCTTGGTGTGCCCACATGGCAGAGGCTGGGGAAAATGTTTTCCAGGGCGTTTGAAGAATTCCTCTTGGGAAAGAATTTTAGGTTGCAGGTAGGCAACGAGAACACACATCTAAGGTTAGATGTTACTCACACAGGGACACTGCCAGCAATTCAGAAACGAGGAGCCGCTAAGATGTCACGGACGTGAGGACGATAGCTAATACTGCCATGTGACATAGAAGTTGGTAAGTGGATCTTAGGAGTTCTCATCACAAGGAGAAACTTTCTTTTTATTCTATGTAAGAAAATCTTAACTGAGCCTACAGTGGTAATCATTTCACAATATATAAAAATCAAACCATGATGCTGTAAGGCCTTACACTTATACTGTGATGCATGTCAATTATCCATCAACAAAACTGGAAAGAAATCCAAAAACAGGAGCTGGCAGGTATACTGGAGCATGTGTCCTCCCATTTGACCAAAAAGCTGCAGACCTAGGGCTAACACATGGTTCTGGAAACTTCAGACTCTATAGTTCCTAACAGTATCTGATAGGGCTAGCTCTCCATTTCTCTTTAGAATATCCATGATATCCATGTTATTTTCATTTGGTCATTCTTCCAGGTGAATGTTAAAATAACTTCCAAAGTAAAAATAAATAATAAAAAATTAAAAAAATAAAAGACCCCGTTTAGCTATTCATTAGAACTACATAAAATTTAAGAGAGAAAACTTCTGGATAATATCCATGCTAAGATGTTTCCTCTAATCAAGTAGATCAGGGTTCTGATAGGTTGTTCTCCTCTGTCCAGTTTGCTCTTTTTTTGGGCAGCAGGGAGAGCAAAATTCATTTCTTCATTTGCATGAGGAAGAAATTTCCGATTTTTGTGGGGTTTTTTTTTGTTTGTTTTAAGATTTTATTTACCAAAGAGGTGGTGAAAATAAGCACAGGTAGAATGAATGAATGGAGAGACTGGCAGACATGCCCTTTGCGGGGTAGAGCCACCATGACTCCAGAAAGTTTATGGAAGCCTCAAGGGAAACATAGAGGACATTAATGTTATGCTGACAGCTCCCTTGTCCCAGGCCCTTGTTAGGCATGATCAACATGATCTCAAAGTGGACAAAAAAGATGGGGGTTCTGGGGTGCTCACTGTATGGAAGCAGGCTGAAGAACCAGATGTCCTAGCTCTCACTCCTGTAACCTAGACTTACTTAGCCCTAAAGAGGGAGCCCATGATGATGTATAACAAATAGCTGCCCATAAAGGACTAGTAGGCAATTGCATACTCTAGTCATTGTCTAAGATGCAGCACTGCCTTATGAACCAATAAGAGAAAAAACAGTCATCGATTATGAGGTGTAACCCATTGCAGAGACGTCAAATGTGAAAGAATGCACAGATAAAATAATGTAGTCTTTTCAAGTATACCATAAGAAACTGAATATTTTAAGATTGTGAGGTTCTACCCACATCAAAATTTAAAAGCAAAGTAAAGCAAAAGATGCCATACCAGATGCTCTCTTCTTAATTAGCTTTAGGTAGTTCAGAATACTACATCTGGTGTCCACATCCACTTCCATGTTTTCAAGGTAAGAGTTCAGAATTGGGATCAGCCCAGGAAACACACCTTCCTACAAGAAGCAGGACACATCGTTAGCACTCTGGCCATGGGTGTAGGTGGTGAGGTGTGCCGAGCAGGGCCCTTACCTTCCCGTTGATGATGGTGTCTATGCTCATCAGGGTATACTCCTCTACAGCCACTTCTGTGCTGTTCTGGGCCTTGCCGTAGCCATCTACTACAGTGTTGCCACCTGCCAGAGGAGAGGACAGAGGCACCTGAGCAGCCTGTTGTAACCTGAAGTAAGTGATCCTAGAAATCCAAGAGAATGTAATACCTTTGCAAATATCTTTCCTGAAATAAAACATTCCCCGCAAGACAGCATCTCGTTTCTGTGCAACTTTCATATTTTCATCAACCTAAGGGAAAAAGATAATCATGGCTACATCAGAACATTCTCGATCCAACATAGAAGTTGTGGTGCCCTCCTCACTTTTACAATTAAGACTCACCCTGTAAGAATCCTGCTTTCCCCTTCAACAATTTCTGGTTGAGGAACAGACTTTTTACTTTTTTAAAAAAATTTTTATTTATTTATGATAGTCACAAAGAGAGAGAGAGAGAGAGAGAGAGAGAGAGAGAGGCAGAGACACAGGCAGAGGGAGAAGCAGGCTCCATGCACCGGAAGCCCGACGTGGGATTCGATCCCGGGTCTCCAGGATCGCGCCCTGGGCCAAAGGCAGGCGCTAAACCGCTGTGCCACCCAGGGATCCCAGACTTTTCACTTTTATGTGAGCTTGTGTCATTCAACCAGATTGGCATGTGCTTTTTAACAAACTTAGAATTCCTCCGTTCTTATCTTAAAACCCACACACACACACCAAAAACATTCACATAGGCTGCCTGCACTCCAAAGCACCTTTGTGACTAAGTCTGGTAAGAAGGAGGGCAAGGGCTTGGTTCTCTCTTCACACAGCACAGTGACTCATCCAAGATGCCAGGGTAACCAAATGTAGACAACCCAGAGAGAACTTCTGGTTCGGTGCTGTGCCCTCCCTACTACTGGGGTTTTCCTGCCTCATTGTGGTGAGATGAAAAGAGGTGATAGGTTGTCAGATATGGAATAAGGAAGGTTAGCCCTCTAAGAACAGAGGGTCCATCTGGTAGTTCTGGCCATACCAACTTTACAGGAGTCCAAAAAACTTAAAAAACAAAAAATATATATATATACACCTATGAGCACCTGGATGGCTCAGGTGGTTAAGTATCTGACTTTTGATCTCAGGTCAGCTCTTGACCTCAGGGCCATGAGTTCAAGCCCCACGTTGGGCTCCATGGTGGGCAAGGAGCCTACTCAAAAAAAATATATATATATATATATGGACCCTCTGTTCTTAGAGGGCTAACCTTCCTTATATATGTGTGTGTGTGTATATATATGCAGATATATATATACACACACAGTCAGCAGTAAGACAGCTGGATCATGTGGTATGCCCAGGCCACACATCAGATCAGTTAAACCAGAGCCTGTTTTATGGGTCCCAGCTATCAGTATCTTTATTTCATTCAAAGCTTTGTTGATACACAATGTTATTTCAGTTTCTGGTGTACAAAATAGCACTTTCTCATTTTGCCCATTTCCTCACCACCTCCCCTCTGGCACCCATCAGTTTGTTCTTTGTATTTATGGGTCTGATTCTGTTTTTGGTTCATTTTGCTTATTTTAGATTCCACATAGAAGTGAAATCATAAGGAATTTGTCTTTCTCTGACTTCGAATAATATTCTCTGGGTCCATCCATGCTGTTGCAAATGGCAAGATCTCATTCTTCTTTATGGCTGAGTACTAGTCTATTGTATATGTATACCACAACTTTTTTCTCCATCTATTTATTGATAGACACTTGGATTGCTTCCACATCTTGGCTACTGTAAATGTTGCAATAAACATAGCAGGGGTGTATGTATTTTTGAATTCATGTTTTCATTTTCTTTGGGTAATAGCCAGTAGTGGAATTACTGAATCACATGGTAATTCTAATTTTTTGAGGAATCTCCATACGGTTTTTCACAGTGGCTGCACTAACTTACATTCCTACCAACAGTGTACAAGGATTCCTTTTTCTCCTCATTCTCACCAATATTATTTCTTGTGTTACTGATTCTAGCCATTTTGACAGGTCTAAGGTGGTATCTTATAGTGGTTCTGATTTGCATTTCCCTGATGGTGAGGGATGCTTACATCTTGGCCATCTGCAGGTCTTCTTTGGAAAAATGTCTATTTGGGTCCTCTGTACATTTTTTTTTATTTTATTTTTATTTATTTATTTATTTATTTTATTTATTTATGATAGTTACAGAGAGAGAGATGCAGAGACATAGGCAGAGGGAGAAGCAGGCTCCATGCACCGGGAGGCTGATGTGGGATTCGATCCCGGGTCTCCAGGATCGTGCCCCGGGCCAAAGGCAGGCGCCAAACCGCTGCGCCACCCAGGGATCCCTCTGTACATTTTTTAATAAGGTTGTTTTTTGTGTTCGTGTTGAAGCTTTTTAAATATATTTTGAATATTAACCCTTATCAGATATAATTACAGATGTTTTCTCCTGTTCAGTATGTTGTCTTTTTTGCTGATGTTTCCTTTCTGTGCAAAAGCTTTTTATTTGATGTGGTTTCAGTAGTTGATTTTTGTTCACTTCCACTGCCAGAGATGTACCTGGAAAAATATTGCTAAGGTACACAAAGATTACTACTTATGTTTTCCTTTATGAATTTATGGTTTCAGGTCTCACATTTAGGTCTTCAACCCAATTTAAGTTTATTTTTGTGTGTGGTGTAAGAAAATGGTCTGGTTTCATTCTTTTGCATATAGCTGTCCCGTTTCTTCTCCAGCATTGTTTATTTTGAAGAAACAGTCTTTTCCCCATTGTATATTCTTGCCTCCTTTGTCACAGATTGACCGAATAAAAATGGGTTTATTTTAGGGCTCTCTATTCTGTTCCATTGCCCAATGTGTCTATTTTTGGGCCAGTACCTTATTGCTTCCATTACAATAGCTTTGCATGTAATACATTTTAATATCTGGGGCTTAAAGAACAGAGAACAAAGCTGGAGGTATCACACTCAAGATTGCTTTGGCTATTTTTTTAAATTTTTATTTATTTATGATAGTCAGAGAGAGAGAGAGAGAGAGAGAGAGAGAGAGAGAGAGAGAGAGAGAGGCAGGCAGAGACACAGGCAGAGGGAGAAGCAGGCTCCATGCACCGGGAGCCCGATATGGGATTCGATCCCGGGTCTCCAGGATCGCGCCCTAGGCCAAAGGCAGGCGCCAAACTGCTGCGCCACCCAGGGATCCCTGCTTTGGCTATTTTAGGGAGGTTTTTGTTGTTGTTCCAAACAAATTTTAGGGTTATTTTAGTTCTATGAAAAATACTATTAGTATTTTGATAGAGATTGCACTGAATTCACAGGTTGGTTTGGGTAGCAGGGACATTTTAACAATTTTCTTTCAGTCCATCAGCATGGTATGTCCTTCCATTTGTTAATGTCATCTTCACTTTCAGTGTGTTTTATAGTTTTCAGAGTACAGGTTTTATAATCCTTAAGTTTATTCCTAGGTATTTTTTTTCCTTTTGGCCTAACTGTATATAAAATGGTTTTCTTTCTGCTTTGTTATTAGCATATAGAAATGCAATGGATTTCTGTGCATTTTTATATCCTGCAGCTCTACTTAAGTCATTAATTCAAATAGTTTTTTGGTGTAGTCTTTAGAGTTTTTCCCTATGGTATCATGTCATCTGCAAATGATGAGTTTTACTTATCCTTTACCAATTTGGATGCCTTTTTTTTTTTCTTGTCAGATTGCTGGGACTAGGAGGGCTTTCCAGGACTCCATTGAATAAAAGTGGTGAGAGTAGACATCCTTGTCTTGTTTCTGATCTCCAAGAAAAAGCTCTCAGTTTTCACCACTGAATATGGTATTATTCATGTCGTTCATATTAATATGATGTTACTCATATTCGAAACTGGGCTTTTTCATATATGGCCTTTATTAAATTGAGATATGTTCCCTTTAAGTCCACTTTGTTGGGAGTATTCATGAGTGGATGTTGAGTTTTGCCAAGGTTTTTTTTTTTTTTGCATCCACTGAAATGATTTTTATCTTTCATTAATGTGGTATATTACACTGACTGATTTGCAAATACTGAACCATCCTTGCATCCCCAGAATAAATCTCACTTGATCGTGGTGAATGATCCTCTTAGTGTGTTATTGAATATGGTTTGCTAGTATTTTGAAGATTTTTGCATCTATATTCATCTTCAAAGATACCTCTAGTATCTTCATGTGGTTTTTGTAATAGGGTAATGCTGGCCTCACAGAATGTATTTGGAAGCTCTTCTTCCTCTTTTTTTTTTTTTTTTTTTGGTAACAGTTTGAGGAGAATAGGATTTGGTAGAATTCACCTATAAATCTATCTGATCCTGAACTTTTGAGTTTTTGGATTATCAATTCATCATCACCACTAGTATTTTGTCTGTTCAGATTTTTCTATTTCTTCCTGATTCAGTTTTAGAAGATTCTGTTTCTAAGAATTTACACATTTCTTCTTGGTTGTCTAAATTGTTGGCACAGAATTTTCTTCAGTAGGCTCATAATCCTTTGTATTTCTGTGGTGTCAGCTGTTACTTCTTTTCTGATTTTACTTGTATCCTTTTTTATACTCAAGGAGTCTAAAGGAGTTTCAATTTATCTTTTCTAAGAACCAGCTCTTGGTTTCATTGATCTTTTCTATTTTTTAGTGTCCATTTCACTTATTTCTGTTCTGATTTGTATTTCTTTCCTCCTACTAACTTTGGGCTTTGTTCTCCTTTCTCTAGTCCTTTTAGATATAAGGCTGTTTGGAACGTTTCTTGTTTCTTGAAGTAGGCTTGTATCACTA